ACGTTACAGAAGACGGTGCCAAAAGCCTTCCTAAAGTTGAGAAAGACAACACCTAGTGCTATTCCCCTGTTCACCAAGCTAGTCTTACACTACAACAAACCACATAATGCTAGACAAAATAAAAAAAAAAAAAATGAAATCAGAACCACAAGTGCTTCTATCAAAAAAACCACTTCTACCTGAATCTATCTCAAAAGGCTAATTTGAACTTTATAAAAAGTGATAGTAATATCACAGTTAACTTTCCCTAACTGACTAGTACAGCTCTACATGGAAACGGACTATGCAAATTTGTTCTATTCTGGGAAAGATTGACGATGAGAGTGCAGAATATACAACCCTCACACCACACACACTCATTTTCAGTGTAACAATCCTTCTTTTTCCCCTGGTATGTTACTTCTGGCAACTTCAGTCCTGAAAACTGTATCTTATTTTGTATATGGTACATGACCCAGAAAACCAAACTCTGCTTTCATAGTTTTACATAGTTCCTCTAAACGCAGCATTAACAAAAGTAAGAATTTAAATATATTTTTTTCCCTAACATAGTGACAAATATACGTGTTGAAACATTCTTGTTCCGTCAGTTTTCAAATACAATCACATGCTTAGGCATTCCACATCTTTCTACACTCTTTGTAAGAAAAAATGAAGAACATTAATGCTTGCAGTTTGAACTTCAAATTATCCCTTACATGTTCTTTCAAAATAATCTTCCCTAAAATTACAAATAAAGGAAAAGCTACATCTGTTGAAAACATCCCAATAAAATGCTAAATATATTTTATCTAAAAGAAAATAGTTTCAAGATGGATGCCTTTTAATTTCATTACTTCTAGAAAATAACATGGAAAAACATTTTAATTATAGCTATAAGCATCACCTTCACTGTTAGGTTCATATAATAATTCAAACGTATAGACTGTTTTCTCATTCCTATCCCCTCATAGCAAAAAGGAGTACAGTAAAATTTTATAGGCCCATCTACTGTTTTGTGGTAGAACAGCTGTTACCAGCTGGAGATACTTTATGCTTGGCTGAACTGACTATGTGAAAAAGCATTTCTCTAGTCACCTTCAAACGAACATTTTTTTCCTCCTTTTCAAGAAATTTTGTAATTTACAATTTCAAATCCCTCTTTTGAAAGAATTCCAACTGAAATTACATATGGATCAGAAAGATTAAATGACTGTTTTGGGTGTTTGTTTTTTTTTTAACAGAAAGACTGAAATTGGATATTATAAAAAACAGTGTGTCAACCCCACTAGCAAACTGAAGAGCTTTTTAAAATCTCTCACTGGATCATGAAAATGAGGGGCCATAAACAGAATAATACACCTTACCTGTCATTTACCGTAACTGACAGAGATTTTGACAGAAATCTTTTCACCTGAATAAATGGACCTTCTGCTTTTCAAAGATATTCATGCATACTCTTTCAAAACATGCAGATGTACTATTTCAAGGAAGAGTAACTGGAGATTGAGCAACAGGGACAACGCCGTTTTTAAATGTTTCACCAAACAGAGGTACTATGGTAAAAATTTATAAGATTTCCCCAATTTGGAAAGAAGTTCATATCCAAACCAAATATCAGGTGAATATCAGGGGAACAAAGAAAGGTCGTTCTGTAAGGGGTGAGGGTTTCCATAAAGGAGAGAAGCAAGGAGGCCAGCTTTCCTCCATTCATTCAATTCTCTGCAGCATCAAGAGATGCGAGCGTGCAGGGAGGCGAGGGGACAGCAAGGCAGGCACGAGGCAGTGTCTTCCCCGGCAAATGGCATAGTCCCTCCATAAAGGTCCTAGCCCAAGGAGGTGAGCCCAGCAGGCCCAGTGACAGTAAACTTGGTCAGCCAGTGATGGCTGGGTAAGCCCACAGCGATGAAGTAGGTCCGACATCAAGCCAGGAAGTCATCAGTGGGTGAGGACTGGGATCAGTCGCGTACGTGGCCAAGCACAGCTATGGTGAGGGCTAAGACCAGGGGCCTGAACGTAAACGCAGCTTCCAAGCGGAGTGAAGGAGGCCCCGAGCAAGGCCTGTCACAACTCCTTTTGCACATGGCCATTTTCACAACCGTCCCAGCAAGGCAACGCGGCTACACCGACGAAGAGTCGGCCAGGAGCACAGGCAGGAGAAGGTGGGTGCACCCAGGGCTCCCAGAGCTCCTTCCCATCCATGAATTTCTTGTACATTAGAAATCCCATTTGTGTGTGGCTGAAATAGTTTCCCTTGGAAGTTATCCTTGTTGGTGTATCCCAAATATCAAAATAAACTGACAATATAATTTAACCAGACAGGTTAAATATGTGAATCATCCTTGTTCTTCAAAAACAAAGAAAATACGAATTGATTAACTAAGAGGGGGTGGTTTTATTAACTGTTTAAATAATGATGATTTTTCATCACATTTTATGCAAAACATTATTTATAGCCTCTTGTCTAATTAAAGTATTCATTTAACTGATTAGTGATCATTTCATGCAGTATGTATAAAGACAAGTGTACATGAAAATAGGTAGTATCTCATGTCGGCTCCCTGTAGTTTCTTGCCTTTTCTTTCTCCAGCAATTTATCTTCCTAAAAGCAGGAGGGAAACGGAGGAATTTGGTTCTGATATTCACAACACTTTCAATAAAGTTGAGTCGCATAAAGAGACCCAAAGTTACATAATACTACAGATAAGTTGGCGCAAAAAAGAGAGGGAAGCTGTTTTTCATCCATGCAATTGAGCTTGCTCAGTGTTACTACTTACAATATTTTAAATATGAAATTGCTAGGATAATACATCTTCAACATGCACTCAGGAGGTTGCAATCTATTGTATATGCAGTTACCTTCAGTATTACTACCTTTCAGGTCTTCAAAGGATAATTAAACAGTTAACAGTATGATATTTTGCAAGACTGTATTTTAAATCCTATCTGCAGATGCAAGAATAAGATCTTTTTAAGCCCCTTAAAATCGCAAGAATGTCAATGGGTTATTTTCAGCATACAGGCACAAAAGCAGAGGAAACGTGAAATAAAGCAAGAAGGCTGATTGAAGTTGTGCTGGTGTGCAAACACCTAACAGCTAGCCAAGGCTTTCTTGCTCTCCCATCGGTACACAAACTATTCACTTTCAGAGAGCAACCCTACTCCTCCCACCCCAGTGAATAATTTTTCTTCATTTGTTTAGGTTTCAGCTTATTCACATATTAGTGGTTTGCTAAGCAAGGCAGGTGCGTCCCAAGTGGAATTAGAAGGATTCAGTAAGTTATCCTAGGAATAAACAGTCTTTGCCAATACCATATTCCAATGCCTTCTGAAGCACAATTAATTATTTATGATTTTGGCTTCTTACATTCTCAGATAACAATAGCAGAGGCAACACGTGTGAGGTGGGAGCCGTCCTCTATTGCCTTGCAACAGCCATATTTTCATCCATCTGCATATGCAGAGTATAAAAGAGCAGTAACAGCACTTGGCACTTGCTTTATACCTGGCATAAACATCTACACTATTAGCAAGCCACAGTCCTTCATTTTGCATCATTAGATGTGAAACTGAGATGTATATTCTACGTATGGGAGCATCTGAGATTTCACCATCTCTGCACAGTCAACACATGCTCTTTCCACTGACAAGTCAGAGAAATCACATGAAGAAACAAAAAATAAAATAGGCTGATGTTTTGTAACCAGAAGAGGTCCTCTGGAAGTTCAAACATCAGGTTAATGTTCCAGCATTTTAACTCCAGCTTTTCCTCTTTCTTGAACACTATTTTTAATGGATGATGATCACCTAATAACAAAGGCTAGTTTTATATGTCAAACCTGTGTGGGTATGAAGACAAACTCTCTACCCATTTTCTATTTATAAATCAGAATACATGACATTACACAGAAGCAGCCCAGTAAGCTAAAATCAAAGTATTACATTTCATGTATGCCAATTTTCTACTCGAATTATTAGAACACAAATAATGCACTGTCTTTCAGTAGATACTATTTTATGCAAATAAAAAATATTCTGCTTTTTAACAATTCGTATGGTGGCTTAAGAAAAGTGGTTATTACATTTTACCTATTTTGTGTATTTCAAACAATAAGGGAGCTTCTAATATTTACACTGAGAGAAGAATAAACTTCCTTCCAATTAGCCTTTCATATAACATCTCCCAATTCTTTTTACAGTAATTTTCTACATGAACACGACCACAAAAAGCATTGAAGAAACAGGTCAGCCAAAAACAGGTGTGTGTGACAGCCCAACAGCAGTTTGGTTTGGTACCAGTATTGACAAAACAAGAACTGAGGCCTCAACCTTTCTCCCCTCAAAGTTAATGCATAAGTTATCTAACAGAGCAAAATCAGAAACTGAGTTTAGTGCTTTTCAAAAGAGTTACCTTTCACTAAAAAAAAAAAAAAAATAATACCAGGCAGACTTTAAAAACAGGTTTTATTTAGTAGTTAAAAAAAAAATATTGGAAATTAATCGTACATTACTGAAATAGCTTATGAAACATTTTTTGAAAGAGAAACTGATAGTTTAGTGTAAACGTCTAGCCCTGTCACACTTCATGGTTTAACTGCAATGAGCATGGGAGGTCATTACCATTTTAAGTAACTGATTTGTATTTTACAGATATATAGGTCACTGTTAATTCATTAGCACCTCAATCAGAAGTTTAGGTTCTATTTTACAATAGTTATTTACACAAAGAAACATGGGATCAATGTAATATCCTAAAATCAAAGTGCTATTGAGGCTGTGTGGGGCTCAATGCTAAAACCAGTGTAAACAAATTAAAATAGCACAGGCAAAGTTTATAAATTAATGAATTCTATATCATATGGAATATACATAAAACAGTTCCACAAACACATGAATGTGATTGTAAACTGATAAATAAACAATATGTTAAATAGTAGAATCTCAATAAAATAGTAAATTATTGTCTCCATTTTGAACAATGGAGGCAAGCACTACTAATAGCTAGGAATTCTTACGTAAAATATTAGATCTCTCTTGAGACCTGTTTGTGAAGTAAAAGGCTTACATTATTTATCTTGTGGTGATTTTTGTTTTCCTCTAACATAGCTTAGCATCCTCTTGCTTCCGTAACAGCGTAATTAAAAGCCTTGCTCTGATTTCAGCAATACAGCGTTATTCTTTAGCCAGAGCCAGCTTTAAACAGACATGAAAACACACAAAAAATTTAAGGCAACCTCATAATATCCAAGTCCAATCATGCCAACAAGAATGCTTTTGCTCCAAGCTTAAAAACTACTTTAAATTAGGTACTGATTTTCATTCTTTGGGACTCCTTCCTCCACTGACTCTGTTACCCACGGCTCAGATACAATTTTAAATTTTTTCCCAAATGTCCTTCTGAGCGCTTTTATCTCTTTTACCCGGGAATGATCTTCTCCTACAACAACATGGGAAACACCCTCTTCAAGGTGAGAGACTACTTTTGCACCATAAAAACGGAGCTCCAAAGCTCTAATTGATAGTGTTGTTCCACAGATTTTCGTTCTGGGCTCGTTAACAACAGCATAACAGTCCACATAAACAGTGTTTCCTCTGAATATACTGAGCTGACAGCTGTTCCATGAATAACGTTCTTCTAACTCTGCAATCATGCCCAAAGGCATCACCTTATTGTCCTTCATTCTTGAGAACACTTCCTTGAGTTGTGCAACATCCGTGTCTGCTGTGTAGCTGTCTCCATAACAATCATACTCACGAGCAAAATGTTCTTTTGTGTCAGGAGACATGTGAATCATAAAGGCTGGTTGCCAAGGCACCAGCGTTTTGGTCTGAAAACACTGAAGGAGCCACTCTGCCTTCACCACATCATACTTGTTGGAAGCAATGATGTTTTTCACTCTGACATTCTCAGCTCCTACAATGACACAGTAAGTCTCTGGCCCAGGGTTCTGTACCACGCTACCACCACACTCAGCTACTCTGCTCTCCAGTTCAGGCTTTGAGTATTCACCCGTTCCTGTCATAACACAAAACTCAACATCTTCAAATACATTTGAAATCTTATTTACGTTAGAAAGATCAGGAGCTTTAAATTGCTCAGCTATTCCAATTATCTTCTTCACCTTTGATGTAGTTTTCCTTTTTTTCTCTTGTGGCTCATCATACTCATCTATATGAAGGTGCTTAGATGCCAGCTTCCCTTCTGCTTTCCTTCTGAGATCTTCTAACATGTCCAAAGTCATGCACTCGTACCATTCTTTGTCCTCTCTTATCTTCTCAATTCGAGGGAATCTCAAAGTACAGTCAGTTTTGTACATATCACTGTTAACAATCTCGGCTGCCTTGATCTGCACTATGACAGAGTTGCAAGGTTCAATGTACATTTCAGGTTTTTCAGTTCCACACAAAATGTTACAGGGAGGGTCCTTTCGATGATAGGGCTTCCAGTGTTTAGCCAGTTTCAAACCGAGATCGTACAATTCCTTCATAGTATAGCCAGAGCCAACACGACAAATAGAGTGGAAAACGGTAGGTTTTTCATTTGGAGGGGGCGTCTCTGCAACAGCGCACAGAAAATGAGACATCATTCCACCGCGTGAGCCCTTCCCCCAGTAACCACCAACAATTAAAAGGTCTAGTTCGTCCATCAGCCCACTGACGTATTCTGGCTTGATCTTTAGCCAGCCTTCCCCACGTTTGTCAGGCTTGTAGGTGGACATGGGATCTTTCACCATAATCCCTTCCTCTCTGTTATCTATTGCTTCATTTAAGGCATCAATTACTTCTTTTCTTGTTCCAGCACTTTTTTTATGTACAACATGTATCCTGCCTATTACTGGGGTAAATACACTACTTAAGATTTCGTACCTTCTGCTTAGTACCTCATGCCCCAGCTTCTGATCGTTAACCATCAATACATCGAACACACAGAAGCAGGTCTGCAGATCAGAGTCTTCCACCATTCTTTTTATGTCAAATCTGTTTCCCTTCTGCATAAAGGTTTGCGTCTCAGGATTGTAAGCCATCATTTCACCATCGAGAATGCAATTTTGTATATTGTTCTTAAATACGTTATGAATAAATGGCGTTAACGAACCATCAAAGGGGGAAGCGCCGAACTGCTGAGTATAGTCAAACCCATTTCGGGAAAAATATTTATACACATCTCCATCTTTGTGCATCTGCATCCGTTCACCATCCAGCTTAGTTTCTATGTAGAATACCTGGTTATTCATTTGTTTCTCAATTTGCTGGACATCAGCAATAGCAGCAAGCATCGGTTTAAAGGCAGAAAACAACATGATAGAAACATCACTCAGTGAGACAAAGGGATCATGCAGTTGTCTGCAGACTTTTTCCAAATCAGTTGTGACGTTGTGCAATTCAGCTGCATCAGGATGAAAAATGGAAAATATAGTTTGTTGACTAACGCCAAGCTTTAGATCCTTTATAATCATCCGGATGAGCCATTTTTGTTCCAGTGCTGTGCTCTGGGTAATCAACTGAAGAAGACTTTTCTTTAACAGGCCCTTGTTTTTAGCAGCATTATTATTAGCTATCGCATCTAAGTGTTCATTGACTTGTTCTATCGTCAGCCTGCCTTGTTTTGGGCTCCTAGGTTTTAACACAAAGTATGCGATCATTGCAAAATCTCCAGCATCTCCACGTGAGCCAGCAGGCGTTCTGTAATTTAAAAGCTTTGCAGCGTCTTTTCCATCTTTTGGTAAGTTAAGTAGTTCAATATAGAGCTTCGCAAGCATAGTTTCTTTAATTCCATATGCCATCCTTTCTCTTTCCAACTGTGGAAGAATAAGTCGCATAGCTGGATAAAAAGAATCTGTGACGTCTTTCTCTTTTTGATGAAGAGCATCGTGGAATTTTCTCCAGGAATCCAGAAAGTCCCTGAAATACTTGGTTTTCTCCGGGCGAGACTTACACATCTGTATTCGCTCCAGAGTAGAACACAGATCTGCAAAAGGCACGTGAGAGGCCACCGTTTTTTTAGGAGAAGGTTGTGAAGCAGTCGCAGAAGCCATCTGAGTCCGTTTTTCACTAAGAACAAAAAAAGTACATATTTGTAGAGAAAGAACACGCCAGTACATTAGTCCACCTCAAAAAAAAATTTCTCTATCTTGGATTTACTGACTTTCTCATTTTTTTAATTAGGATTTAACTGTTATCTTTATTTAAGGGTGACCAGTTAGTACCGCTGTCCTCACCTATAGCTGAAACTCAGCAGTCAGGCTGCGACTCCGGCATCACCTAGGCGAGGGGATGGCAAGGCAGAAGGCGCTGCGCACCCCTCCCACTGCTGCCTGGCCGGAACCTTTCA